CGGTCTCTCCTGCCCGGTCTCTCCTGCCCGGGCTGGCTTTGAACCGCGATCCTCAGATCTCAGCCTCCTGAGTAGCTAGGAGTACAGGAGTGAGCCACTGGTACCAAGCTTTAATAAGTATCTTAACAGACAGGTTAAGCCCTAACAACATGGGTCACTCCTACTTTAGGAACTTAAGCAACTCATAAAAAAAATTCAAATATATACAAGGCAGAAGGTTAAAATGATGGGTGACAAGGAGGAATCAATTTCAAATCACACCTATTAAGCCAGGTGTGGTAATGCAAATCTGAAACACCCAAGGTGAGTGAGGCAGTAAAGACTAGGAGTTTGAGATCAGCCTATGACATACAGAAGCTGTCTCAAAGTCTCCAAAATCCCCAACCAGTACCACAGAAAAAGGTTCCCAGATTACTGAAGAGAAACCTAACAGAGGTAATGGAAGCTTTCTCTCTCCAAGTCAGTCCGTTTCAACAGAAACAAGTTGTATGTATTTTTTTCTATACTTAGCCACCAACAGAGGAACTACAACTTTGTGTGGCATTATTTGACAGGCTACATTTTCCTCAAGCAATAGGTAGACAGCTTTATACCAGGACTAGAAGTATAGTCAATCTAGGTGTCTTTCCTACCGGCTATTCCTAACTATCTCAGAAAAGGTCTGGCTATGTTATTTTTTTTTTGGGGGGGGGGGGGGGGGGGATCCGGTCATGGGGCCTGAACTCTGGGCCTGGGCGCTGTCCCTCAGCTCTTCAGCTCAAGGCTAGTGCTCTACCACTTGAGCCACAGTGCCACTTTCGGCTTTTTTTCTTTTTGCTTATGTGGTGCTGGGGAATCGAACCCAGGGCCTCATGCATGCAAGGCAAGCACTCTACCACTGAGCTACCTTCCCAGCCCCTGGCTACTATGTTTGGATATATATTGATGCAGGGCTTTAAAGTATGGGAAAGAAAATTCCTAGGATCCAGATATGGCTCAAATCTTACCATTTCTCTAGCAGTTGTTTTAACCACCAAATCTAGTTTGATTTTTCTAAACAAGCCAAGCAACATACACATTTTGAGTTACATGCAGAGGGGCTGCTTGTCACCCAAGAGGTAGCTAACATGAAATGTACTCCAGTAGTCCAGCACCAGTGGCTCATACCTGTAATTCTAGCTACTTAGGAGGGTGAGATCTAAGAATCACAGTTCAAAGGCATCCCCAGCAAGAAAATCTCAGAGACTCATCTCCAATTAAGCACCAAAAAGCTGAAAGTGGAGCTATGACTCTAGTGGTAGAGTGCGAGCCTTCAGTGGAAAAAGCAATGAGACAGCACCCAGGCCCTGAGTTCAAACCCTAGCACCAACCTCAAAAATATATATCTATATACTCCAGAGTCTAAAAACAAGTACAACACTTGCTGTTGTTTCTTTATACATACACTTCTAGCTTGGTGAGTGGGGGAGGGAATAGTAAACAGAAACAAGAAGCCCACTTTACATACAATATACAATACTATCTGCTTAAAGGTAAAATGAATCCAGAGGTCCCAGCATTTGATTAGAGTACATTCATTAATACAGTAACACCTTTCACCCTACGGTTTTCTAACCAAAACCCAACCTGGGAGTACAGTGTGACCCAGATAGAAGCAAAAAGGGGAAGGGAGATTCCCCCCAAAAAAAGGTAGAAAAAGCAGTCTTTCGAGATTTTAAGGCTGCTAAGTTCAGAAAATTCTTCACACATCTCTCTTCCACCACCCTGTGGCCCTGTTCTAAAAACACACTAGAAATTACTGAAAGAGGCCAGGTGCTGGTTCCTCGTACCTGTAATCCTAGCTACTCAGGAGGCTGAGATCTGAAGATTGTGGTACAAAAACCAGCCAGGGCAGGAAAGGCTGTGATGTTCTTTATCTCCAATTAACTACCAGAAAAGTAGAGGTGGTGCTATGGCTTAAAGTGGTAGAGTACTACCCTTGAGTGAAAAAGCTGCGGGACAGTGACCAGACCCTGAGTTCAAGCCCCACAACAAACAACAACAAAAAATTACTTAGAGAATTTTGAATGAAAGCACTGACCAAGGAACCTGGTTAATACTATTTCTAGACAAGTATCTGAATATAGCGTCAATTCAGATCCTTATTTGCAATGCCTCTAAACAGGAAGTTAAGAGACATCACAGTCAGGGGAAGCAAACCACAGTCATAAAGATGGATACTTTTGTCAACTACAAATCATTCTCACCTCTTCAAGAATGTTCTCAAGTAAGGAATAATTGGTAGGACAAAAATCTATAAGCCAGCTCAGTATCAGTGGCTCACGCCTGTAATCCTAGCTACTCAGGAGGCTGAGATCTGAGGATTTCAGTTCAAAGGCAGCCCAGGCAGGAAAGTCCATGAGACTCTTATCTCCAATTAACTACTTGAAAACGGAAGTGGCACTGTGGCTCAAGTAGTAGAACACTAGCTTTGAGCTGAAGAGCTTAGGAACAGTACCCAGGGCCAGAGTTCCAGCCCCACAACTGGAAAAAAAAAAATCTATAAAGCCTGCAATCAGGAGGCCGAGATCTTATGCTCACAGTTCAAAGTTAGCCTGGCTCCTGCCTGTGACACTCTTATCTCCAATTAACTACAAAAAAAAAAAAAAAAAAAAACACATACACACAAAGTGGAACTGTGGCTCAAGTGGTAGAGTGCTAGCCTTGAGTATAAAAGCTCAGAGAAGCTGGGCCCCGGTGGCTCATGCCTGTAATCCTGGCTACTCAGGAGGCTGAGATCTGAGGATCACAGTTCAAAGCCAGCCCAGGCAGGAAAGTCCGTGAGACTCTTATCTCCAACAAACCACTAGAAAACTGGAAGTGGCGCTGTAGCTCAAACAGTAGAGCACTCACTTTGAGCTGAAGAGCGCAGGGACAGCGCCCAAGCCCAGAGTTCAAGCCCCACAACCGACAAAAAAAAAAAGCTCAGAGATAGTGTCCAAACCCTAAATTCAAGCCCCAGAACCAGTATCTGAAAAACAAAAACACAACCATAAACCTCAATTTTTTCTTAAACTAGGTCATCCAGGCAGCAGGTCAGATTTCCAATTTCCATGATTGACTTTTAACTCTAGACTAAAAACTATATACATTCCTCTAAAAACAGATGACAGCCCTACCAGACAAATGTTCCCTAATTGTTCACACAACCATCTGCTTCAAATGCCCAAAAAGATTCTATCCCTGACACAGCCTACCCCCAAACAGCCAAGGACTATGTACACACACACACACACACAGAGTGACACCATTTCCAACAAATGTGAGACTTTCTTCAAAATGTACTGACCCTCTCCCCAGCACCAGCTTAAACATCTCCAGAAGTTGCCTCTTTCCTGACCAAGTATAAAGGGCAATATTCTCAAGGCTGCTCCACCACCAAAAAGTATGAATGAGAGTGACTATCAGACTTCAAGGAAAAGTTTATGTGTATCAAAGAAAGAGCATTAAAGTTAGCAAGAAACTTTCAAAAAGGTTCATCTCCAACATAAAGACACCATACTACTGCCAGAAAACAAAGTTACTTACATGCACTAGTTGGGAAGACTGGATGGCTGAGGACAGAGGTGAAAGGAAAGATTTCTTTTTACTTTGTACCAATGCACTCACTGTGAATGTCACTTAAAAATATAAATTTTACAAAAGAAAAAGATCCTCGAAATCACAAGAGCATAAGCTCTTCTCTAACATAGACCTATAAAACCTTTTTACTCCATCAACTACTAGTCCAAATCTCTTTTGCAGACTGCCTTGAAAACGCGGCTTTCTCGCCGCCGAAATATACATTCAGTATTCCCATCTCTGTGACACATGGAAATCCTCTAAATTATTATCTATCAGACGATATTCGCTAAGAATCAGGGACTACCTGATTCTCCAAAGGGCAGTAGACAGGACTGTTTAACAGCTTAACTCAGCATCCACATGCCACCTATCAGTAAAGCCTCCATCTCCATCTTCATCTCAGTACCAGCTGAAAGAGATCACGTCTTGTGTTTGAAGAGAAGCTGGTGCTGGGGATGAAACCCCAAAAGGCTACCATACCTTTATGAAGAGGTAAGCTGTCCCGAGCCACTAGTGGCACCTAAACTCCTTGCAGGAGTAACTAGCTCCTTATTGTGATTGAGAGCCAAGGAGGCAAAAAGTAGTCTTAAGTCCCGGTTTGGTTAGGAAGGGTAAGTTGCAGCTCCATCAACCCTCAAGCACTGAACCGGGAAAACAGATCCAGTGTGTCCCAGAATCCCAGCTGAGAAAAAGGGTGGTTTCATCGCTGGAAAACGATAAGTACCCCGACAGCCTGAGACAATTCCCTTTTTCTAAGGGAGGCCGAGGAAACCGTGGACAACGAAATAAAGGGGTAAGGTTCTCCACTGTCTCCTTACCCTAAAGAAAGATAATGATCCTGGGCTTCCTTCACCCTCAAGGAGCTCACATTTGTCCCAACCGCCGTCAAACACGAGACTGAGCGCAGGGAGCGGCCCCCGCACCCTGAGGGCACCATTTGGGGACGGGGGGGGGGGGGGATGGGGAGTTTTTTTAAAAACAGGGGGACGCGCTAAAGAGGCAAGAAGGGGAGCATGGCGGGCATGAGGTAGTGAGTGAAAGCGGGGATGGCGGGGAAAACGGGGCGCGAGGGAAGGGGGGAAAAAAAAGAGTAAAAGGAGAAGAAATGAAGGGACACGAGCTGGGGGCGCGCGAGGCCGAAGTGAAAGACGGGCACGCGCGCGCGGAGGGGAGGAGGGGATGAGGTGAAGGGGGAGCGCGAGGCGGGGGCGCGCGGTGCCGGGGTGGGGGGAGGGGGACGCAAGGCGGGGGCGCGCGGGCGGGCGTCGGCTCGCGGCGCTTCCCCTCCCCCCGCCCCTCCACCTTTCCCTTCCCCCACCTCCGCCACCACAGCCTCCTCCCAGCCTCCCTCCCTTCCTCGCTCCTCACCGCCCCCGAGCGGGCGGGCGGCCAGGCCGGCCTAGGCCAAAGCTCCTCACCTGGCGGTGGCGGTGTAACTCTCGACTGGCTCGCTTCTTTAGGAGGCGACGGAGGCGTCGAAGAAGGAAGAAGCCACAGCACCGTGGGCTCCGGACCCCACTGACGGGACCAGGGGCAGGGGTGGGGGAGGGGGGTGGGCCGGACCGGGGCGGGCGGGCGGAGCAGACACTGCGGTACAGACGGGGGCAGCGGCGGCGGCGGCGGCTGCACCGGCGGCGGCGGCACCACACAAACAAGGACGCTGATTGGGCAGCTGCCAAGCGCCTCGGCTCCGCCTTACCCACACGCCACGACGCCCATTGGTCGACCTAAGCCGGGCACCCCGCCCGCTTCTTCTTAGTCCTACCAATAGAGGGTAGGATACTGGGACTTCATCCCACCCTTGGAGAGTGAGTGGCTGGAGAAGTGATGATTGGCGTTCCTACGATCCAATCATAAGCCGAGGAGGGGGGATGGTCTAGCGGGGGCGCGTTAATGGGTACCTCGGCCAGTCCCAGACACATCCGGGTCTTCGACAGCCCATTAAGTGTCGGGGGTCAAAAAATCGCTTCAGGCTGCAACTTTACCTTAGAGACGTTTTGGTCCCCAGGCAGCCGCCGTACCCCAGGCTCCCAAAATCGGGATTCCCCTTTGGCCCGCTCTTATTCTTTCAATTCTAAAGATGGAGACGGGGGACGGCGCTGGACTCTACGTTTGGGCGGTGTTTCATCGCGACAGGATCCAAGAATTTCACGATAGAAGTAGCTGTAGGCGCTTGGGCCTTGCTGTGTATTTGGGGCGTGGCCTCCCTCGGTCTGCCAGAGGCCTTGGGCTTCCTAGTGTTACCACCTCCGGTTGGTCTGTCGTGACTGAACCACGGACAGCAGGGAAGAAGGCAACTAGCCAAATTCACTGGTGAATTGCGGTGTGCAGCGCCTTCTCTTGGGTTCTGTGGGGCTGTTTAGGTTCACTGGGAGGAAAGAGCCTCCCACACGCCCCCTCCCCCACCCGATTCCTCTTAATCAACTCAAGGCCTCGCTCCTCCGGCCTCACCTCCTCCCCGAAGCAGTTAGGCCCGCCTAAACTCCGGGTTTCTAGAGTACTTATCAGAAGCATTGCTTTGAGCACCTTAAGGTTAGGGGCCAAGTTCTGTATCTGTAGGTTGGAGGAGCAATACTAACTAATGTTTCGGGAAAGTACTGTGTTCCAGGCAGTGTGCTAAGAGCTTTGCATAGATTCTTATTCCTCCTAACTCTATGATGTAGGTACTGTTACTCCTATTTTACAGATGAGGAGAATGGGGTACAGATCATATGACTTTTCCAAAGTTACATGCTTAATGGCAGAGCTGAAACTTGAACCCAAGTGTATCAGAAAACAGGCTGAGTAACTTGCCAAGGTCAGACAGTGACCAAGCTGAGGTTTGAGCTGAACACTATTTCTAGCCACACTAGGACATTTTTTTCAAATCATTAAAATGTCATACTGTGCAATGGAGATGAAATTTTAAACCAGGCCAGGTGCTGTGCCTATAATCATATCACTGCAGAAGTTGAAGCAGGAGGATTGAGAGTTCAAGACCAGCCTGGGCCACATCCAGAGCCCAATAAAATTTTAGGAAGGAAAGAAGGAAGGAAGTAGGTTAGAGAGGAGGAAGGAGCTGGAGGGAAAGGGAAAAAATAAAATGGATGTGGCCACATAAAGATAGGTAAAACTGGGTGCCAGCAGCTCATACTCATAGCTATGAAGAAGCTGCAATGTGGAGGTTTGAGGCTCTAAGCCAGAAAAGTCCAGGAGACTCCATCCCCAAAAATGACCAGCAAGCCGGGCACTGGTGGCTCACGCCTGTAATCCTAGCTACTCAGGAGGCTGAGATCTGAGGATCGCGGTTCAAAGCCAGCCCGGGAGACTCCTATCTCCAATAAACCACCAGAAAACCGGAAGTGGCGCTGTAGCTCAAGTGGTAGAGCGCTCGCCTTGAGCTGAAGAGCTGAGGGACAGCGACCAAGCCCAGAGTTCAAGCCCCACGACCGACCAAAAAAAAAAAAAATGACCAGCAAAAAATACAGGACTAAGGCCTGGCTCAGTGGTGAAGAACTAGCCCAGTGAACGTAAGACTAAATGCAAGTTCTAATACCAGCCAAAGATCAAACAGTAGAACATGGACCCCTCCAACTCTCTCTCTCTCCATCTAGGTAGGGGTAGCTCACGCCTGTAATCCTAGCTACTAAGGAGGCTGAAATCTGAGGATCTCAGTTCAAAGGCAGCCTAAGCAGAAAAGTCAGGAGGCTGACATCTGAGGTTCACAGTTTGAAGACAGCCCAGGCAAGAAAGTCTGGGAGACTCTTATCTCCAATTATCCACCAGAAAACCAGAAGTGGAGTTGTGGCTCAAAGCGGTTGAGTACTAGCCTTGAGGAATAAGCTCGGGGACAGTGCCCAAGTCCTGAGTTCAAGCCCCATGACCAACAACCAGAGCTGGTACCACTAGGAAGTCCAAGGCCTCTCGCAGACAGAGGGAGAGCACACCCCAGCTACACAAAGAATAAACTAGATGGGCACCAGTGGCTCACACCTGTAATCATAGCTATTCAGGAGGCTAAGATCTGAGGAGTCCAGTTTGAAGCCAGCCAGGGCAGGAAAGTTTGTTAAGATTTTTATTTCCAATAAACTACTCAGGAAAAGCCCAAAGTGAGGCGATGGCTCAAGTGGTAGAGCACTAGCCATGAGTAAAAGAAGCTCAGGGACAGTGCCCAGACCCTGAGTTCAAGTCCCAGGACTGCCCAAAAAAAGCTGAACCCCAGGACCAGCATGCACACACACACATACACACATGTGCACACACACACACATACACACACCCCACACTAGTAAAACAACCTGTTTTCCATGATAATATAGTATTACTATCCAGGTAAGGAACATGGTCTGGAATTAGGTGCTTGAGTGAATCTTAGCCATTTACCAGTTATGTGATATAGATACAAATTACTTAACCTCCCAGGGGTAGGAAACCTTTTTACTTCCAGGGGCCATTTAGATGTTTATATGTTTATAACGTTCATGGGTCATACTTAATTATTGATACTGGCAGAAAGCCTCCCCCCCCTTTCCCCCCCTCCCCCCAGCTGATGAGATTATATGTCTGTCCCATCATATACCAAGTGACTTTGCAAGCTTTATTGGATTCAGACATTCTTCACTCCTGTATCTATATCTTAGTCTATGCCTCACACAGTGTAAGATTCTCATTTGTAAGATGGGAATAATGGTATCTAGCCTGTAGGATAATTGTGAGGTCTATAAAATAGTGCATTTAAAACACTCATGGAAGCCAGGAGCTGGTGTTCATACCTCTAATCCCAGCTACTCAAGAGGCTGGTTCAACCCAAAGAAGAAAAGTATGAGACTCATCTCCAATTAACCAGCAAGAAGCCTGAAATAGGGGGTGTAGTTCAAGTTGTAGAAAGCCAGCCTTAAGGGAAAAAAAAAAGGCAACTTAGAGTTCAAGGCTCTTGAGTTCTAGCATGCATAAATAAATAAATGAACTGGGGCTGGGAAGGTGGCTCAGTGGTAGAGCACTTGCCTTGCATGCCTGAGGTCCTGGGTTCGAACATAAGCAAAAAGAAAAAAGCTGGAAGTGGCGCTGTGGCTCAAGTGGTAGAGAGCTAGCCTTGAGCTGAAGAGCTGAGGGACAGTGCCCAGGCCCAGAGTTCAGGCCCCACGACCGGACCCAAAAAAATAAATAAATAAATAAATAAACTTTTCAAAAGATACAGTAAGCATTGTTTTTAAAATGGTCCTAGGCACTGGGGTGCTGGTTCCTGCCAGGGCCGGCTGCCACCTGCCCAGCCGAAGAGGGACACAGCCTGGACTCTCCAATAGTGTTTTTAATGGAATCAAATCCACGTGGTTTGTATATTTTTTCCTTTAATCTTGGGCATTTTGTTTCTCTTTCTGAGAAGTAACTTGAAACACTACAGAGCCAATAGTCCTATAAAGAGTGTATCTGAGGCTGAGAAGGTGGCTCTAGTGGTAGAGCACTTGCCTTGCATGCTCAAGGTCCTGGGTTCGATTCCTCAGCACCACATAAGAAAAAAGCCAGAAGTGGCGCTGCGGCTCAAGTGGTAGAGTGCTAGCCTTGGGCTGAAGAACTGAGGGATAGCGCCCAGGCCTAGAGTTCAGGCCCCATGGCCAGACCCAAAAAAAAAGAGTGTTATCTGCAAACGCTGTACAGTTTTATATACATTCACAATGTACTTTTGCTGCCTTCTAGATCATTTACAACACATTGCTGCACAGTTGTAAATAACTTATGTACTGTAACATCACTTTCAGTTATGTGTAAAGAAATTAATAAAATAAAATAAAATGGTCCTAGGGCTTGAACTCAGGGCCTGGGTGCTGTCCTTGAACTTTTTGGCTCAAAGCTAGTGTTCTACCACTTGAGTCACAGCTCCACTTCCAGCTTTTTTGGTATGTAATTGAAGATAAAAAGTCTCACATACTTTTCTGCTCTGCTTCAAACTGCAATCCTTTCATCTCATTCTCCTGAGTAGCTCAGATTACAGTCATGAACCACTGGCACCCAGCTCATAGTAAGCATGTAATAAACATAAAACAGTAACTTTATGATATTCCTTGCTTTTCCCATTGTCAGTGTCACTTCTGGCTTTCTCTTTTTTTTTTTTTTTTTTTTGGGAGGGGGGTCTGGTCCTGGGGCCTGAACTCTGGGCCTGGGTGCTGTCCCTCAGCTCTTCGGCTCAAGGCTAATGCTCTACCACTTGAGCCACAGCACCACTTCCAGCTTTTTTCTTTTTGCTTATGTGGTGCTGAGGAATCGAACCCAGGCCTCATGCATGCAAGGCAAGCACTCTACCACTGAGCTACCTTCCTAACCCCAATTCTGGCTTTTTCTTTTTTTTTTCTTTTTTTTTTGGGGGGGTCCGGTCGTGGGGCCTGAACTCTGGGCCTGGGCACTGTCCCTCAGCTCTTCAGCTCAAGGCTAGTGCTCTACCACTTGAGCCACAGCACTACTTCCCGCTTTTTTCTTTTTGCTTATGTGGTGCTGGGGAATCGAACCCAGGGCCTCATGCATGCAAGGCAAGCACTCTACCACTGAGCCACCTCCCCAGCCCCAATTCTGGC